TCCGCCCCCCACCTAAGGCTGGCCGGCCTGCGGGGTCCGACTTGCTTCCCTCCGCCTGCGTGTCTGAGCTTTCTCTTAGAACTGCCCATCTTTCGAGGGGGCTTTTGTCTTTTCCTTATTGACTTGACGGAATCTCATGTATATTTTCACCGTGAACGTTCTGTGAGTGAATTTCCTGAATATTTTCTCCGCCTCAGTGAGGTGTCTGTCAGCTTTGTGTCATCCTTCCCTGGGCGGAACAGAAGTTTGTCTGTTTGCCCCCCGGTTTGTGCCTTTTACAGATGCCCCTTTCCGCCCGTGAGCCGCGTCTCTCTGCACCCTCTCGGGTCCGCTGTATAGTTTCTCCTCTTCAGGGCAGATGTACTACTATTTAAGTTAGGAGGTGGGACCGCAAGTGTTCATTTTATTCTTCTGCTTCATAAGTGACATGATGTCACACTTTTTTATCAGGGATTGTGGGGTACAGATGAAAAGCACACGTTCCCAAGCCCTCCCAGCCCGCTGAGGGCTCTGCATCCAGCGAGACCCCATTCTCTTCCCCAGCCTGCTATGGCTGGTGCCCCCAGGGAGGCCCCCTGCCCTCCCTGGCTGCCCCTGTGGGCCACTCCCACCCTGTGGTCTCACGTCCTGTCCCAGCCTTAGTCCCTGCGGGGGGGGGGGAGATCGGACGGGGGGAGGCCTGGTCTTGGAGCATGCACCTCAAGGGCCTCCAGGTTGCCCTCCCCCCACTGTGGGGTCCTGCCTGGAGAGTGAAGCAGCTGGGTCTGGGGTCCTGGCTGTCACTCCGGAATTAGTGGGTTCAGACGTGGGTCCTGCCTGGTTCCCAGGGGCTGGGGGGAGAGGGTGCCGGGGTGGAGTTGGCCTCTGGGAGGCCCTATCCATCCAGCCCCTCCATATCCTGCAGGCGGCTGTCCGCGGAGAGCAGTGGATCCCCATTGAGCCCAAGCCCAAGGAGCGGCCGCAGGTGGGGGCCACCATCAAGCACCCTCCTAGCAACCCCCCGCCCCGGCCCCCAGCCGAGGCCCGAAAGAAGCCCAGCGAGGAGGAGGCGGCAGGTGCAGTGGGCGTTTCTGGTGGCCCCCAGGAAAACCCGGTCCCGGTGATCGACGAGGTCGTGTGACCCACGTCTCCAGCTGTCCGCCATGCAGCCCCCAAAATAAAACCAAAGAGAGCAGGCTCCTGACTCTCCGTGTGCACCCCACTCCCAATCCGGGTCTTCCTTCAGCATAAATCCTGGATGGGCCACTTCTCGCCCTATTTGCCTCCCCACCTGCCCATACCGAAGGGCCACTGCCAAACCGCCAGGCTCCCACAGCCCAGGACGGACACCACCCGCGCCACGCCAGTCACTGCCGCCACAGGGATGCCTCTGGCCCGTGGCTTCTGGGCCTCCTGGACCCTCGGTCTGGAAGTGCAGCCCCTCCCCGTCCCCGTCCCCAGCCGGCCGTCATTCCTTCACCAACAACAGACGGTGTCGCCGCTGGTTTTGTGGTGTCCGTGGCCCGTGGGGCTCTGCCCTCAGAGCCAGCCACATGGTGGAAACTCAGTCACGTGCTGATGAAAGTGTGCTTCAGACCCCAGACAAAGGTCACTCCTCCCCCCTTCCCAGGCGCTTGTTTGCACACAGTAGGCCTTCATCAGGGGTGGAAATGGCTGGTCAGGTAGGGAGGTGCTGAAAACTGTCCTTAGATGGGCCGGGGAAACTGAGTCTCCAAAGGGGGGTCATTGCCTCGCTGGAACTGCACAGGCTCTGATCCCGGCCATTCTGCAGGCCGGGTCCAGAGGCTGGGGTGCCTGGCAGGCCAGGTGAGTGCTGGTGGGCAGAAGCCCCCAGGGCATCCAGGCAGCAAGACCGGCCTTCGGATTGGCCTGGGTGTCTGGTGGGGCTGGAGGGGACACTCAGACACTTGGAGGGGGATGGTGGGCTGCACAGTCATGTCCCCCCGAGCCAACACCCCCAGCCGTGGGGAAGCGGGGTAGGTCCCCTTGCTGGAGGAGGGCCTGCCCGCATCCTGGCCAGACCGGGAGCCCTGCCATTCTGCAGGTGCCATGGCCAGGGGTGTTGGCAGGTGAAACCCGCCAGGGCATGCAGGGCACACACGTCTCGCACACTGGCTGCCCTTGGGGTTCACGCACAGGCATTTCTGGAAGGACGCAGAATCTAGGGCCAGCGGCCGCCCCTGCAGGACCAGCTGGGTGTCAAGGCCAGGCAGGGGTGAGGGTGAGGAGGGCGCCTTCAGCCACTGCCCTCTGCCGGCCGACGCTGTGCTCTGGGGGCATTTGTCAATTAAACAACACATTTTACACTTAAAATAAATAGGTGTTTTAGAAATACAGGGGCATTTGTTCCTGGGGGGGCTGCAGGGAAGAGGAAGCTTGGGGGCCGGGACCAGCCTGAGGCCCGTGAGCGAGTGAGGGCAGCCCGGGGAACCACAGACACAGAGGGGACGTCAGAACACCTTCGTTTAAGACTGTCTGTGCAGAAAGGGTAAACCGAGTCTCGAGATGGGCGTGACCCGCACAGTGCCCCCACAGGCCCCAGGGACACCGCTCTTCCATTGCTTGGTCTCCACCATCATTCCTCGGCCCCGAGGCCTGGAGCCTCGGTACCTGCCCGGGGACCCCAGGGGGCAAATAAATAACCAATAAATACACATAAATAGGAGGGGCCCTCTTCGTAGAGACCCTGACCATCCAGTGTGTCCAGCGAAGACAGCCAAGGCCGCTGGTCACTGTGCCGACCTGGGCAGGACGCAGGTGCAGCCGACGGGCACGCGGATGAACTCGGCGTGGAAGGAGAAGGCCCCGGGTGTGGGCACCCGCGAGGCGTCCCGCGAGCAGGGCCGGCGGCGGAACACCAGCAGGCTCTGCAGCAGCGGCACGGAGTTGAGCGCGGCCGTCTCCCGGCCCGTCTTGGCGCTGATGCAGCCCCTGCACAGGCACTGGGCGAAGGCCAGCTTCTGCGGGTAGCGGCTCTCGTCGGTGTCCACGCTGCGGGGACAGACGGAGTGAGGCCCCTGCCCACAGCCCCCTGGCTGCCCCTCGTGCTCAGGGTGCTCCTCGCCCACATGAGCTGAGGCTGCGGGGCTGGTGGCGTGGGGCCCCCACTAGTGAGGCTCATCGTGCCCCCCACTGCCCCCCAGAGAGCTCCCCCCCACCCCGACACCGGGCCCAGCCACCCCTGCACGGGCTCAAGTGTGGACCTCAGAATTGTCCCGGGGAATCCTGGGGATGGAGCCACGCTGCAGTCTTGCAGACTGGGGGTGATGGCCCATCTAGCGGGGGAGGGGGAAGACACTGAGGCTCAGGGGAGGGAATGGCCCCACCCCACAGAGCAGGGGCCCCTGTCCCTGCGGAGTCCTGCAGCCCTCACCGGTATCTCCAGGGCGAGATGGAGCGCTGGTGGATGTCGGCTTCCAATACCGCCTCAGGCCGCAGCACCGGGCACTGGGTCCCAGCCGGGGGCTCGTCGTGCTGCCTTCTGCGGCCCCCCGCCTCCAGGCTGGCCACCAGGGCTACAGGCAGAGCCTGCTCCCACTTGGCAGCTCGAGCCAGCAGGTGTGATGGGGCCTGGCCCAGGGGCAGCTCCTCGGCCGAGTAGCAGCGTGGGGTCCCGTGGGGGTGGGGCCCCCCCCAGAGCGGGGGGCCATGGCGGGCCAGGCTGGCAGGCAGCCAGAACAGAAGCAAGAGGCCGGGTAGGAGCTGGTGGACAGGCATTGGGTGGGCAGGTCAGGGAGGTGCCCAGGGAAGGGGGCACCTCCCTGACCTCCCAGCTTGCCCTATTTCCCGTGGAAAGATGGGGTGCGGCCCTCCCTCTACAGTTGGGGAAACTGAGGCCCAGAGGGAAACTTGGCCCTCAGCCCAAGCTCCCCAGAGCATCAGAGCTCCTGGGCCCTGGCTCTCTCCTGTCCCCAGATTTGGGGGGCTTCCTGAACCCCGTGCCAACCTCCTCTGCTTGGGAGCCGACGGCACGGGGCAGGCGGGGGCGTGGGGAGAGGCAGCGGCTCACCAGGCTCATCATCGCAGCAGGGGCGCTGGGCTCGGAGAGGCAGGTGCACCTGGCTGCGGGCCTGGAGGCTGCGGACCTGGAGGCTGTGGACCTGGAGGCTGCGGACCTGGAGGCTGCGGACCTGGAGGCTGCCCGGCTCCAGGTGCCCTTTATACCTCCAGCCACACCTGGGGAAAATCCGGAGCAGCTTCCTCCTGGGGAAGTGCCCGGCTGCGCTGCTTCCTCCTCCCCTCCCGGTGGGTCCCCGGCCCCTCCTCCCGCCCCGGGGCGGGCCATGCCCACCCCCACTCCTCCGCTCTCCCTCACACACACCCAGAGGGACCCTGTCCCAGGCTGCCGCCTTGCAAACGGAGCCACGGAGCCCACGGCTTCTTAGGACGGGGAAGTTCCCGCTGCTTGGCGCGATGAGTGGGGCGCTGGGGCAGCTTGCTCGTCCACAGGGCTGCATGGAACTCCTCCAGGGCTGGTTCCCCAGCTTGTGGACACGCGCTTGGTCCTGTTTTTTTATCTGAGATAGTCCAGGAGGGGCCCCCCGTGTCTGCCTGCAGCTGCGCAGGTGGGAGAGAGTCCGGAAGAGGCTCCGGGAGCCGGGGGCCGGCCAGTGTCTTCAGGTTCTGGGTTGGGTTTCTGCGGATTCACTCAACAAAACCTCACCCTAGAAGCCAGAGATGCGGGTGAGAATGCCTTGGAAACTTTAAAGTGCCTGCACCCCAAGAAGCTGTATTTGAGGAGGCCCCTCTCAGGGCTGCAGGGGGGCTGCAGGGGGCCAAGGGGCGACGGTCCAGGCACTTTGGTTGTCCTGAAAGGGACAGTTGGAGGCCATCTGGCGGAGCTCTGGACGCCACTCCCTGGGTCCCCTGGCCACCCCTAAGACACAGGGCCCTGTGTGTCCCGGTCTCTCCTATTAGAGGCTAAAGCATCCCCCAGCTGATGAGGGTCAGAGGGCAGGGCGGTGACCGGATACGCACCATTCCCTAAGTCTCCAGGGACACGAAGAACCCCTGGGGGAGCAGGGCTCTCCCAGGTGTGACTCTGGGCAGGGACCTGCCCTCCTGGTCCTTGCAGGTGTCTGCACCTGCAAGTGGGCTGTCCTGCGCCCCCTCCCTCCTGGGGAGCAGCAGGGTAGGGTTAGGGGATACCGTGTCCCTCGCTGGCCTGGAGGAAATGCTCCTCCCAACACATGGTTGGATAGATGCGTTGAGTCCCCAGGGCTGCTCCTGCCTACAACGCCCCGGTCCCTGGTCGTCAGCCCTCTGCTTGCATACCTCCTGCAATGGGGAGATCACCACCCCCGGCATTCGTTTGCTAGGGCTGCTATCACTAAGTATTACACGCTGAGGACACCATAGTTCCGGAGGCCAGAGTCTGAAATCAAATTGTGGGCAGGGTCCGTTATTTCTGGGGTCTCCGAGGGAGGACCGTTCCCACCTCTTGCAGCTTCCCGGGGGCTGCTGGTGATTCTGAGCCCCCTGGCTTGTGGCCACGCTGCTGCGACCCCTGCCTGTCTTCACGGGGCCTCTCCCCGTGTCTGTCTCCCCTGCTCTGTGTTTCCTAAGGACACTCACCTCATTCAGAACCATCTCAAGATCTTTACCTTAATTACATCTGCCAAGACCCTTCATTTCTTCACAGGGACTGGGGCCAGACCTTTGATGTATTTTGGGGAGTACACAGTTGAGCCCAGGACCCCCTCTACAGGGCAGAGGCTGGAGGTCCAGGAAGCCCCTCCTGAGGCCGGGCTGACCCCCGCCTCCCTGTCTCGGGAGAGTGAGTTCCAGTCTCTCCTGTGTCCCCCCAGAAGGCAGTGTGAGCCCCTTGAGGGCAGGGGCAGCGGTGTGGTGGCACCAAGCTGGTCCACAAATACGCTGGAACGAGGGGAAGAAGGACGAGCCTGGCTCCCCAGGGAGTAAAACGGGGTGACAGGGCCCCAGTTGCGGGGTGCTGGCGGGTGAACCCCAGCCTGGAGGCCGAGGGAGCGAGATGCCCGCTGTGCAGTGGTCTCGCCTTCTTTTTTGGGGGGGGGTCTGGCCGCACACGCACACAGGTGTTATTTATGAAACGAAACGGCTGTAAATGGTCACTTCCGCTGTGGCTGCCTGACGGGTCCCCTCCCACGGGGGCGCGGCTGGATGCACTGGGCAAGCACGGCAGCCCCCTGCCCATGCCAGCCCCCCACGGTGTGGGGAGGGGAGTTTCCGCATTTTCTGTGCCTTTCCAGAACAGCCCATGGGTGGGCACCGCGCTCGGCAGAGTAACCCTGGGACCAGGCTGAGCGCCCATTCTGCTTCACGGCACCACTGCCCCTCGCGGCTCCACGTGGTCCTGACAGCGGTCCCCAGGGGGGTTGCGGTGGGGGGAGAACTGGCCCAGCAGACCAGGGGCAGGGCCCGGGGGTCGGGGGTCTCGGCGGGCAGTGCCAAGGCCGGAAGGATGCAGGGCGGGGGCCCAGGCGGTGCCTCATTCCTGCGGGCGGCTGAGGCAAGCACAGAAGTCCCGGGTTGGGCAAGACTGGAAAGGCGCTGCCAGAGGAAGGCTGGAGGGAGTCCCGGAGGCGGTGTCCGGGAAGGCCCCGCCCTCAAACCATGCCCCTTGGACCATGTGCCTGCCTCCGTCAGTGTCCTCCTGCTGAGTGAGGCGGCCTGCAGCCCTGGGTAGGGGGCTGACAACTGTCCCTGGGGGGAGCCGGGCAGCTGGGCGCGTGGGGGAGGGGGGGGAAGGCCCAGGAGCCCTGCCGGGTGCTGTGAGTGACCAAAGAGAAACCCACAGAAATTTCACTTTCACCAAACGAGCTGCCGCATTAGCCTGAGGTGTTCACTCATGATGTTGGAGATTGTATCTCACATTTGAGTGACAAGAATTACAAAATAAAAAACCCTTGTTTTGTTTCTTTTTACCCACTCAAGAGAGAGGGAGGCCACCGTGGGGGCTGGGGGGCGTCAGCAGGAGCCAGGTGGTTGGGGAAGGAGTGTGGGAAGGCCTGAAGGGATGGGGTGGGCTGGCCTGAGCTGCCAGAGTTAGTGTGAGGAGTTGTCAGGTCAGAGTTCCAGAAAACGGGGAAACAGCATGTGCAAAGGACCTGGGGTGGGAGAATGGCAAGCAGGTGGGGGTGGGGTGGCTCAGCATGTGTCACGTGGCAGGGCTGCTCAAGCTGTGAAGACTGGACCTGGACACGGGGGGCAGTCTAGTGGACAGACACGGAACTGGAGGGACGGCCCTTAATTTTCCCCACTATTTGCATGTTAACCACAGTCAGGATCTCAGCCATCATGTTCCCTAGAGCGCCAACATGCCTGAGGATCCATTACATAATAGAGGATTTCCTTTTTCCAGATGTCTGGCACGGAATGTTCTTTCCACGAATGTTCTTTCCACCAGACTGGGCAGGGGGAGGGTTGGCTCAGGCTGTGGCCCTTACCCCTCCCTGGACAGGTACTACTGAGTCTGGCCCAGAGGAACCATGAGCCCAGAAGGCTCATGCTTGTTTAAACTGGGCTGGGGTTGAGGGGACCCAGGGCCGCGGTTCCAGCCTTGGTGTCAGAGGCCCAGGCCAGGTCAGTGGGGCAAGGAGAGCTATGTGCAGACAGGGACATGTGGTGGGCTCACCTGCGGGCTCCCAGCTGGCTAGTGGGGCGCAGCGGCCCCGGGGGTACAGAGCGCATGGGGTCAGGCTGGCCCCCAACCCGCCCTGGGTTCTGGCTTTGTGTCCTCGAAGGCCACCCACTCAGAGAATGGGAGTTCCCTTTGTACCCGGTTTGACGGCAGATCAGATAAGCCTTGAAAACCTGCTGAGACACAGGATTGAGGCCGCCGTGGCGCAGGAGGACTCACACATCCCGCAGGACGTGGAGGCAACACGAAACACCATCCACGGAACGCTGACCTGGCTCACCCCCAGGCCCCCAAGCTCTAACCGCCACCCCGGCTCTGGGCAGAGCCTGAGGGCAGCTCAGCGGGTCCCACCGGCAGGGGACAGGCCCCGGGGCTGCTGCCTTCTGAACTGGTCCCTGCAGCCCTCCCCAGACCTGGGGGCAGCAGCACACACCCCAGGGGCTGTCTGGTTTTAAAGCAATCTGAGTGCGTAGGGGTGCTGACCCCGCCCACCCCAGACCACGTGGGGGCGCTCGGAGGCCTCGGTGCTCCTCAGCCAGCTCACTCCCCCAAGAAGGGCCACGGCAAGCACCAGGGTTCTCCCTCGGCGGTGGTCTTGGCGGCGGTGGGGCTCTCCGCGGGGGCTGCAGCGGGCAGCAGGGCGGCTCCGCTCGGACCCCCTCATGGCAGCACGGCCACAGGGTGGTCCTGGGCCCAGGACTTGTCAAGCCTGCCTGCACGCACACGGGGGAGCCTGCGTACACACCAGCTTTGGGGCCGGGGGCCGGCCTAGCCCGACAACCATGCTTCCTGGCCTCTCTGCGCGGGCACCCATTTCGGGGAAAGCAGGTCACCGGCGCGAGCAGGAGGTGCTCCCGTGTTCAGGACGCCCCGCCAGGCCCAGGGTCACCACAAGGACACAAGGTGCCCTGCCCACGGGGGCCGGGGGGGCACAGCCCGTGCCGGCAGCGCCAAGGGCATCTCATCAGGGCCTCCAGGAGCCCTGCAGCACCCTCAGCCTGCGTCAGCCGGGGCTGCCAGCACACCAGGCGGGCCCAGGCCCATGGAATCACCACCACCAGGGCAAGATGGCTGCTTATCAAAATACTTTATTTTAGGAGACCCCTCAAAAAAAGACCCTCCACATTACACAGACGCCCAACAACACCCTCAGCCTTTTTTTTTTTTGGTCTTTTCTGTATTTTTTTTTCCTTTTTAAATCAACTAAAACAATCTGATGCTTAAAATAAAAGACAGGAAATATTTCCCAATCGGACTTCAGTCAAGAATATATATCTATTTTTTGACCCTGGGGCCGGGCAGGGGTGGGGAGGAGGCTGCTCAGGAGCATGGGGCGCTCCCGGGCCGGGAAGGAGCGCGTGCGGAGGACAGGACGCAGGGCAGGCTGGCTGGCAGCGGGGAGGAGAGGCGGGCGGGCGGAACCGGGCACCCGGGGCTGATCATTTACATAAAACTGGTGCCGCGTCCTCGCTCCTGCCGCCGGCCTGCCTGCCTGCCTGCCTGTCTGTCTGGCGGGACTTCTGCTCTGGGATGGGGCTGGTTCAGTCTGGTCTGGTCGGGAGAAGACTGGGATTCAACATCATCTTCCTCGTGTGTGGCTTCTTTTCCAGCTGAGAAACTTTTTTTTCTTTTTTAATTTTTAAAAAGATTCACAGCCAAAATGAGACATTAACTTCAAAATCCAAGATGGCTGTGCTCACGCTAGTTATAAAAACACGAGAGTCTCTCACTGCGGCGGGGGCTGGGCCCGTGGGGCCCCTACACCTTCCCGGGGATCTTGGCCCGCTTGCGTGCGATGGCGTCCTCCACGGCTTTGAGCTGCTTCAGGAGTTCCTCGCGCCGCGACAGTGTGCTGGCCTTCCCTGATTTGGTGCCGCCGGAGATGGTGCTGGCAGTGCTGGCGTCCGAGGCTTTGCCGGGCACACTTGTGACCTTACTGGAACTCTTGGACTGGGGAGACAACTGGCGTTTCCTGTGGGGGGGAGGGGGAGGCCATCAGAGGGTCTGCCATAAGCCTCCTGCTGGGCAAGGACACGCGGGGCGCTGGGCAAGGACATGGGGCCCTGGCAGCCATGGACACAGGTCTGCCTCCCGGCGGCAGCGGGCCGGGCTGCAGTGGGGAGTGCCCCTCCCCCGCCCTCGGTTGTGGAGCGTGAAGGGGGCACAGCGTCCAGGGCTTGGCTGGTGCCCTGCTGACCTGTCCCTCCTGCTTCTGGTGCTTCTTTGCGGCCTCCCCCTGTGGTGGCGAGAAAGCCCATGGTGCTGACCCAGGAGCAGCCCTGAGGGCCGGGACATATGGGGGGCTACACAGGTGGCTGAGTCCCGAACCCGTCTGGACCACGACCCTGAGCAGTGGGGTGACAGGGAAGGGCCTCGCAGCCGGCCTCCTGCGAGAAGGAAATCTCTGCCCTGCTTCCGGGGCCGATGGGGAAGGCAGGAGAAGCCGGGAGCACCTGGAAGCCTCGTGCCTCGGGGCCCTCGTTCTAGGACCTGCTGCGGGGCAGGAACGCTCTGGCTAGCCTGCCCTGAGGCAACGGTGCCCAGGTGGTGTGCCCAGGGCACGGGTGGGGCACTCACCTGTCCGGCGGGGCCACGGGCACCTTAGAGTTCTGGCCTCTCTGCCGCTCTGGCTTCGGGGAGCCGAGTCTCCCGCCTGACTTCCGGTCCCGAGAACCTGGATGACACGGGACGAGGTGAGACCACGGTCCCAGCCCACAGTGGGCTGGTGGGCATGGACAGGCTGGGACGGCCTTACCGGATGCCGGCGACCCCATGCCAGGGACACGGCAGCTCGGTGCCGTCTGCAGGTTCTCACAGGAAGAGGCAGAGGGCAGAGCGGGTCAAAGCAAGGGACAGGGCAGTGCCGGTCACGCCGGAAAGTGAAGCCCCAGAAGCCCATGTAGGCCGAGGTCAGGACAGGCCAACGAGCTCCCATTTATCCAACACAAAGACCCTCATCACTCACACCTTCGAACTGGGCACCGACAGGCAGGGGAGCGTAGGAAAGAGAAGTAAAAGCAAGTGCTCGCCGCACTGCCGCCCAGTGAGCGCGGGGCCGTGTGAGGGCGGCGGGCGCGGGTGGTCAGCGCCGGGGGGCACACAGGTTCTGGCAGCAGCCGGTCCTCGGCCCAGGCGGGCGTGCCGCAGTCCCGGGCTCGGCGGCACCGGCGAGGGGCGCCCCTCTGCCCTTTGCTCAGGGAGGAAGGATGGCTGTGTGTCGGCAATCAGAGCTGGCCAGGCAGATGGCCCGCAGAGAGCCGGGGCTGGACGGCTTGCGCGGCAACGCCGAGCCCCCCCCGCCTGCCCTCTGCCCGCCCCCAGAGTCTGCACACCCTGGGCCATCACGGAGGGCCGAGCCACCGTCTGTCAGCCAGACACTGAAGACATTTTCGAAGAAAAAAAAAAATGACACTCCTCATTTTTGTTCGTTGAAACGTAGTTATTTTTCATAAAAAATGTTATTTGTGTTAAAATATAATACTTTTGTTACTGTTATTTTAACATTAACAAACGTTGACATTTTTTCCGGAGTTTCAACTTCTTAAAACCTTAACATCGATGGACGGAACCACACAAGCGTTGGTTCCTTGGGGCCCATACTGAAGCGCGCACGGGGTCCTGGCCCCTCCGCCCCGCTGGGCCCTGCAGAGGTGGGCAGCTCACCTCGGTCTGGGGATAAGTTAGCCCGCTTGGCCGGAGGAGGGCTCTGCCTGTCTTTGTCCGAGGGTTCATAGCGCTTCCTGCTTCCTTTCTCGGCCGCCTGGCACAACGGAGGGGGCACAGTGAGCACGGCTGGCCGCCGGGCAGAACCAGCCCCCCCGCGGGAAGCAGGGGGCACAGCGGCGACGGCCTCACTCCCACACCTGCTTCCACTAGCCCCTCCTGTGGGTGCCCACGGCGCCCCGAGGGAGGCAAGGCCCAGGGTTTCGGGCCTTCGTTCGCGGCAGCGAAGGTGCCCGCAGAGACACTGTGTGCCCTGGGGGCCGCCAGCCCTGGAGAGGACCCCAAGGGACTCAGCATGTCGCCCTCCCAGTCCTAGGGAGCCTCGGGGATGTCAGCTCACACAGGGCCAGGTACACGGAGAAGGGCCGGGGAGAGCACCCACCACCCCCGGGACGCCCCCATCTCCCGGGACATGCCATCGGGCTTCGCCACCCGACACCCACGTCTCCCCCATCAGGGCAGCAGGACAAGCGGGCTGATATCCAGCCACCGTTCACTGGCCCCAGGAACCAGGATGCCCCCCCCCCGGGGAGCGGGGCTCCCGGAACTGCCACCAGGAGCGCCCACGGCCTCACCTTGTTCAAGAGCGTCAGCTTGATCTCCTTGTGGGTGACGAACGTGCCCTGCTGGGGCTGCCCGGGGGGCCCCTGCTGGGGGGCTGTGGGCTGCTGGGCTTTACCTCCAGCAGAAGGCTTTGAGGACTTGGGCAGCTGTGCGGACGAGTCCCTTTTCCGCTTGTCTTCTTTAACCCCATCTTCTTTTTTAGACTTTCCTGCCAACAACAAATGCTAAGTCATAGTCACCATCCTGGCATGGCGGTCTCCTGGGGGCCACCTGGAGGGTGGACGTGCTATCAGCCAGGCCACGTGTCCATGGGACAGAGCTGGGAGGTTCCTGCGCTTTCCTGTTTAACCAAGTGAGGCAGTGCACACACCCTCTTTCCATGAAGGGCCTGCCCGCCTCTGCAGCCACAATGCCCAGGACACGAGGAGCCCCCTGTACCTTTCTCCTTCTTGGTCTGGGCTGGGGTGGGGGACCGCGAACTTGCTGAGGACACGGGGCTGGCCAGGTCTGCGTACATGTCGTCTGAGTCCACGCTGTGCACCGAGCTACTACTCGACGTGGCGCTGGACACCGAGGAGACGCTGCTCACGCTCAGGGACCTGGACACACACAAGCACGTCTGCACCCACGTGGCCCCGACGGCGAGATGGCTGGGGGCCAGAGGCCACGGGGGCGGGGGGCAGCCGTGGGTGTCCACATCCACCTTCCCAACCTCCAGTTTCGAGGAACATGTACCACCTAACCGGAAACTTCGGGGGTAAGG